GAGTAAGCCGGCCATCATTCTTGGCTGGACTGATACAAGCCATGTGTTCACTATATGTCATACATGCTTTTTTATATAAGGCTTAATGGTCAGTTTATAATGTTCAGCTTCTCATACATCAAGTGCTCGATGGATTCTGTAAGAAAAGACCATATGGTTACCCGTCGGTATTCATAATAAAGTCCTAATGGATGTTACGCTATTGCTAATCCTACAGTATATGGTCAGGATTTAAAGTATTCCTTTCATAATCAACGTGTAAGATCTTACATAATGTCTAAAGAAAAAACGTCAGATAATACATCGCAAATCAATGGTTTTCTTGATGTTGCCACGACAACGATATTTCACACTCTTTTGTAGGCTTTACAGCATCACAAGCAAATTCAGCTGCTTTGCTTCCCCAGATGTTCCCTTCATGTTGGTTTCCTTTGTAAACTGCATTTTCTTCATAAAATGATTTTCCCTACTTGTTTTTTTGAGGGGTTTTCTTTGTCTGTCCTTGCACCATAGCGCGGCCTTGGGTCCCTTGAAAGGCGCTATACAAATCTAATCTATTATTATTATTATTATTAAAGAGTACACTATTTTGCAAGACCAAATCGACATTGACTAAGAAATGACTGTTTTCAACGAAACACACAAGGCTTTACGGTGGCTCGGCTCATATGGATAGACAAATCAATTTAAACATTAATGTAGGATTTATTTACAGAAATTATTTTTATTTTAAAAGTTTTAAACGGTTTTAAAAGACGTTGGTATCTCTATTTATTGGGTCTGTGGCCCCAGCACTTCATATGATACCTCATACATTAAATAATAATTATAATAATACATGTTATTTATATTGCGCTTTTCCTGGTGCTCAAAGTGCTCAAATCACAAAAAAAACAAAAAACAGGGTGGAGTACTGTAAGGAGTACGTTAGAAAATGCTTAAATTAATCGCAGATTGGCAACCCTAACCCTAATCAGCCATGATTCTTTGGGTAATGACTGACCGTATTGGTATTGTAATTTAAGTGGTTGTCTTACACCGATGTAGGAGGTGCTCTTATTGCATAGACATCATTAAACAATCAAATGTCTTCCCACAGTTTGACTTTAAGAGATCACAAGCCAAAAAGGTCAGGGACTAATGTTACAAATATGTGACAGAACAGCAGTAGACAATCCCGTCAACACGTGATTGTTTAAGTGGACGACTGGGTGGTGAAATGTTATGATCAGTTTCAGTTGCAATGCACAGATTTGACGGCATGTAATTCACGTCATACTAATTTGATTGAGATTATACGGAAATACAGATGAGATAATAGCAGTTTTGGAAGCCATGACCTTTAACATGACGGCTCTAAATGATCCATGACTCAGATCTTTAAGGTCATTAGAGAGCTTCTGTGCTGCTGACTGGTTATAAATCACATTTAGAGCCTGTACAAAAATCCAGTATCAGAATGAATTTCCAGGTTTAAAGCACCTTGGCTGTTGATCAATATCTTTATGCCCAGCACCCAGCAACACTCTGCACTGGAATTGTTTCTGACTTGTATCAGCTGTATCAAATGGGCAGTCAGCAAATCTCACACGCCTTCCACAGCAACAAAAGCACAACCAACAAATTCTCGTTGTGAAGCCTCAACGAGTGAAAGCTTTAAATAGAAGACTTTGCTCTGGGCTGCCTTACTTGTTTCTGCTTTTATTCTACACACACGTTCCTGGTTGTAGACCCCAAGGCAACGGCCAGCTTAATCCTCTGCACTTCTAGATAAAAGAAATAAATCAGATAATGAATAAATCACACAATAAAAAACACACTGTACGAGTGGGGATACTATAATAGGCTACCAATTTGACTTCTTCTTTGGAGTAGTCTCTAGGTAGGAATGTCCACGCAAAGCAAATTACTTTCTATATTATATATTTTTTATAATGCGGTCTTCTTTTCTGTATCCGAGCTGAAACTCTCATGGATAACAAAAGGACAGTGAAATCAGAGGTTTTATGCCTTAAAGTCTAATGTATGAGGAGCTTTTGTGTGATCGGTACAGGAATTTTAGGATTATTTTCAAATACCCAACTTCAGATCTGAGAGGAAACGATCAGAGCTCAGAGTCCCACCAGCACCGAGGAGCTGCTAGTCTTACTCAGGTGTGCCAAGGCAAAATCAAACGGAAAGGTAAGACCAACGGAAAACTAAATAATGGACCAATAGAGTGGCGCAGTGATGAAGTACTTTTGTAGGCCAATCCGAAAGTCAGCATCGCAAGTCCCTCAACAAAAAGCAATAGGATTTTTCTATTGGATTTTATAGAGAATAAGCTCTGTGGCTTACACAGATTTATGATCATTAACACATTGTGCTCAGCAGGATAATCTACACATATTAACCCCACTGTGTGATATTTGAAGCACTATGCAATCAGCAGAAGAAAAGCGCTAACGGTTATTAACAAACTACATCACGGTCGCATGGCTGCTCATCACCCCTCGCTAAGCTATTGGAAGTCTTTCATGAGTTTTAATAGTTTATTCAGTCACTTGTTAGCAACTGATATTTATGAGTGGGGTAATTAATGTATGTTATGCCGTAAAACGAAGCGTGAACATCTCTTAAGCTTGTGTTAATCACATAACTTATTTCAGGAATCTAACCACAAACACGTTAAAGAAAACGTTGATTTCAAGGGAACCAGAAGTGGTAAAATGTTAAGTAATTTTCCAGGTATTAGGACTCATTTTACACCACTCAACTGTTAAAGCTCTTGTGTGTTATGAAGGTTTTTATGCATGTAAATGATGTGCAGAGTCACAAACCCTCAAAGTACACCCTGTAGGGAGTAAAACTCTAACACAGAAAAGACCTCCCCAAAACGCCTCGTTGGAGATTTCTCATGTTCTTCCTGGGCATTGTGACGTCTGAATACCCAGTAGCCACGCCCAGAGCTATGACCAGGCTGATTGGTCCAAATTAACCAATCCACGGACTTCCTCACACACACACACACAGTGCAGGCAGCTCTGCTGATTTATCCTCCCTGGCTACAGGCTGATAATAGACAGTTGGGATCGCGGCGAAATTCTCTCTGCAGACCCATTCTCACAGCGTTTATCAACCTTTTTCTTACTCAATATCAAGCCACACTAATTGTTTTTACTTCGGCTGTGAGTTTGTGTGTGCTCAGGATGAGTTTCGCTGTGCATCGCTAAACAAGGAAACAACAACTCCACGGAGCTCAGCGCGATTCACAACGTCCTGACCAATCAGAGCACACTGTGCTCACAGGGAGGGTGGGGGCTGGAGCTATAGAGAGGCGAAGTCCCTCCCTTTCCGGTGGACCTCCATGGGACCTTATTTCGAAAAAATTATGTATTGAAGTCAATGGAGAGAGAAAGATTATCTTTTGATCCGGTTTGAATTGTGCCACGAATTACACATATGATGTTTGTCAATTTAAAAGATAATTCTGCAAGTCAAAAAAACGTGTCGTAAAACTGAAGTAACACATTTGTTTGTGTGAAACGCTCAATGAACTACATCTCTGGTCTCGCAGAACAACACACGTCACCAAGATGGCCGTCACTACTGTTTTGTCAATAAAACGATTGACTACCCTCACTATCACCACAAGGAAACACGTCCAGAAGAATGTCATGCAAAGCTGCCTGCCTGCCTTCCTTTGATTCTCTCTGAACTGCCTGGTCTTTTTAATGTTTAATGTCAACCATTTGTGCAGATAGCATGAAGTACAAAAGATCGCCGATGCTAGCGTTAGCATTTCTCCCCCGGGCTTAAATGGTGTATTATAGAATGATCACACCGGTGACAGTAGGCCTACTCTTCAAAGGGTTCACGAAATATGACTGCTACTCTTACTGTTTAACATGTTGGGTTACTTAATGTTACTTCATATTAAGGCTAATAAAAATGACAAGGCTGTAATGCTAACTAACGTGCTAGCTACTAGCTAGGTAGCTAACTTGATCCAGCCACTCCTGGTCCTTTCATCAGACGGGAAGCGAAAGAACGAGCAAGACCCATTGCTGGTATGATAACAACCTGGTACTAAGCACACAGGCATCTTGTTAAAGTTATCTTATCTTAGCCAGCGCTGATCTTAGCTATCTATTAGTGGAGGAAACAATTGTGACATCACTTACGGGACTCTGGGATTTGTAGTCTTTCTAGTTGCGTATTTTTCATAGTCTTATATTTCAACAGTTTTATGACAAACTAATTTTTTAAGATTGACAAACATCATATGTGTAATTCATGACACAATTCAAACGGGATCGAAAGATACGTTTTCTCTCTCCATTGACTTAAAAATACATTATTTTTCCGAAATAAGGTCCCATGGACCGGAAGTAGATGGGCGTGACTTCGCCACTCTATTGGAGTTCATTGAATTCAGTGAATACACGTAGTTTACAGAGATGCTGTTTGAGAAACCAATGTGAGTTTGGAAAATTGCACAATATAAATCTATTCTAGACCTCAACAATGGAATTATGATCAGTGGAAATGGCCATGACATGTCTCCTTTGACACCAGATCAGTCTATTTTATTCAAGGAAAAAAAACATTTCTTTAAGGGTGTTAACTTATACCTAAAATATGATAAAGAAGTCTCAGGAACAAATCAATCTTCTGTCAGCTAACCAAAACATTTGTCAAATCAACGCAAGTCATGGTAACCTGAGAGATTTTATTTCACATAGTATGCAATGTAGTTTGACATTAAGGTAGTCGCTATGGCTGGGTTTAATGTTCACCCAGCGTGAAATGTCACAAGGCTTATCCAGATTTATGCAAACACTCAGAGTAAGAGCTTCATTTTATGACCAGAATGCAGACACTTTATAAAACCAAGTAAATCAACATAATCGACTGACGGAGAACCCATCCAGCCATACCATGACTTCCTTCTTTATTCCTATTTTTCCCTGTTTGTTTTCCCATCCTAGGTCCTGTAATATCTCTCTTTTCATTCATAGGCAGATGTTTTTCCTGATTTGCGAGACAGCACACGTCCAACGAGAGGTATGATCCGACTGAAATGTCTCCTAAAATATCCATCACCGCAAATTACATCTTTGATAGTGCTGATTCCCTCTTTTGGGCTAATGAAGTTATATGCCCCTGCACAACTACCAAGACGCCTGCTAATGTCTTTTAATTTGCAAAGATAATTACAACACGGTTCCACTTGAAAATCCATACATGCCAGCAAATGAAGCCAAAATCGACCAATCCACTGGGGTAATTATTTCTCCCTGGGATTCTCTAATCAAGACACATCTCAAGGGGCTAATGACACTGATCAAATGTTTTATGAGACAATAAAGCAGTCAGGGTTGACATGACGTGTGTACAGGTTACAGAATAAGCACAAACTCCTTATGAATACTAATGTGATTAACATCGCTTCTATTCAGGGCCTTGTTTACGAAATACCAACATTTGCATTCTGTGCCTAAAGGTGCAAGAAAACCAGGCTAGGCTGTACCCCAACAATGTATAATCTGCAAGAAAGCCAATGCAACACAGCCTACTGAGAAGAGAACATGAAGTGCGTGTTGTTATCTTAAGGTTAAGGACACGCGCACGTCTGCATGCTAACTCATATGCATGCAAAGCGAGTGAGACAAACAATGAAGGAGCAGGTTGTAGGAGACTTGGTGGTAAGGAGAGTCTGGACATAATGAGTTTAATAACGTACAATGTTCATTAAAACATAGCTCACAGCCTCTCCAGAGGTGTCACTCCTGTCAGATTAGTGGTGCTGAGATATGGCCCATATGGTCTGTCTGCTTGACAACACTGTGACCCACAACAGATGTGCTGTTTTCTCTCCCCTGATGTTAGAGTCTGCCTCTTTGTCACACCTGTGTTTTCCCCCAATCCACACAGCAACATCAACGAATGACACTGTTGGATTCACCCTACGACTCAAAGGATTCTGGTCAGTCACAAAATACATTTTGAACTAATTAGGAAGAACTTCTCTATGGGCATTATTAGAATAATGGTTACCTAAAGAAAAAAGATTATCCCTGTGTGATGTTTGCATATAATGCACCAGGTTGTGCCTTTGGACTTTCTAAAAGCATGATGAGGATTTGCAAGCTTGTCTCCCAGAAATGAAATACCTATTTGTTTTTGCCAAAAACGTTTTTAAGAGAAATACAATTGTTGTTCGGATTATGTTCATTGGCAATGTTTTTTCAGTTAAACGACTACTAGGTTATTGTATCGCATGTATAGGTACATTTACAAGGCGTGACTGCAAGACCAGAAACCAAGGATCTCCTAATTAGTCCCACATTTGGAGAGCTTTAGGCAAAAAAAGCTTAACGGACTAAGGTTGAGGTGTATTTTGTTGAATGTAAGTGAAGGTATCATCTTTCTTCAAGTAGACAAGCAGTAACAGGGGGTTACGTATTGTAACCCTAGCACAGGCAGAGCCCTCTACTGGACTCTATGGGTACTACTCTCTATCATGCTGTGCGTGCTTTCACCTACTGAGTTTACGTAAACGTAGCCGGCCAATCGGGACGAGCCTACCTGAATGCGCGCACAGGCCCACAGTATATAAAGGCGGCTACACCCGCCGCCCACTATCCTATACACTCTTCAGCGAGCGGACTAGGAAGAGGGCTCCGCCTGTGCTTATATAACTAGGGTTACAATACGTAACCCCCTGTTATATTTCACACAGGCTTCGCCCTCTACTGGACTCTATGGGTACAGTGGGAGGAGCCCCGATGTATACACGCCCTGTCATCCAACAACATCGACCCACCACACCGTCCCTGACCAGCTTTTGGCTAACATCCATTGCATCCCCACTTCCTCCCATCCGGTTGTAACCGTAGAGAAGTCGGGGCCGCAATTTGGATAAGACACACTCACACACGCTTACCTCGTGTAGAGTGTGCATGGAAAAGATCTGTGCGGAGACTCTGTCTGGAGCCTACCGCGCACCATGTTCCCCAGGTCCCTCAGGAGCATGGGAAAACAAAAGTGCACCACGTCCTCCACACTCACACACGCTCCGTGTAGAGTGGGCATGGAAAATAGTGAGGAAGGCTCTCCCAGCCCGCCTCCAGCCCTGTATGGGGCTGATTGCGCACCATGTCTCCCGAGTCCCTCAGGAGCATGGGAAACCACAAGTGCTTTATGTCCAGGGGGGGTGGGGGGATCAGACACCTGCTGACCCACAGCCACCCCCCCTCTCACCAGTCATGCGTTGCCTCGGCAAGCACAGACGACGAGAAGGAGCCAGACATGTCCAGGAGATAACATTTTATGAAGGAGCCTGGCTTAGACCAAGACGCCGACGTGCATATATCTTCTACACTCACGCTGCTGAATAAGGCTGTTTGACACAGCCACAGCCCTTGTCGAATGTGCACGGACCCCAGTGGGGAGGGCTCTCCCCGCCCGTCCATAGGCATGTGTAATGCACCCGCATAGCCATCCTGTTAGGCGCTTCTTGGAGAGAGCTTCTCCAGCCACACCATCCCCAAAGCACACAAACAGCTGTTCAGTGCGTCTAATGGCAGCCGTGCGCTCTACATAATATGCTAGCTGCAATTTAGCCTCCCTGGCCTCAATATGGGGTGGAAGATTAAAGCCACCTAACTGAATAGCCCTTGACCTGAACGAACTCCTTAGGCTCTTAGGAGTAAAGGCAGGGTTCGGTCTGAGTGTTGCCCCGCTACGGTCACCCCGGATCAAAAGGCAGCTTGGGTGCACCGACAGAGCGGTCAGCTCGAACACTCTTTTGGCCGAAGTCAAGGCAAGTAGCAATGCTGTCTTCCATGACAGTGCTTTCAGGGAGGAGAGCTCCAGGAGCTCAAATGGTTCTGTGATCAGAGCTTCGAGCACCAACGGCAGGTCCCACTGTGGGGCGGAGGCGTGCACTACTGACCCCCTACAAAAACCGCGACATAAGCGGCTGACTGAAGGCTGACCTGCCTCCAAGTCCCTCATGGCACGACGAAATGGCTGCTGCATACACCTTAATTGTGGTATGAGCCAGCCCCCTGTCCACCAGTATCTGTAAGTAGGTAAGAATAGAGCCCAGCGTGCATGACAGAGGCTCTAGACTCCTTCCTTCACACCATCGCCGGAATCCCGCCCACTTTGTCCTGTAACAGGCTGTGGTGGATTCTGCTCCTGCTGCTTGGATAGTCTGACTGTGGAGCCAAAGCTAAGAAGCTGTAGTATTCTCTGGTGGCCTACTCCGCTGCCAAACCTTTCCATAAGAAGGGAGTTTTGGCATGGGGGCTGACAAAGAAAAGGGCCGATTTTCTACTGAGGTCCTTGAACGCAACTCACATTGGTTTCTCATACAGCATCTCTGTAAACTACGTGTATTGTATTCACTGAATTTCACTCTCTGCCTTTAATGGCTCGTTGTAGCTCCAATAGATGAGAGTAACAAATGCGTCACTTCCGGGCAAAAATAACGTCTCCGCCCACTTTTGGGGGAAAACAACGCTGTCAGTTTAACGGTGGTCAATTCCATTTCTGAAGTTTTTGCCAATTCATCACCCCACCCTCCCTGTGAGCACAGTGTGCTCTGATTGGTCGGGACCATGCTGAACACGTAACATGAACGTGCTGGGCGGCGCGGTCCCGTGGGTTAGATGCGCGTTCATAATGCAGAGGGACATAACTCTCAGAATAACGTTATTAGCACATTTTTACAACTTGAGGAACGAATGTTTTTAATAAGGGCTATACAAACGTTCATACTGGGTTGTTTATTTAGTTTAAAATTATCCAACAATTTACAGACCACTCTTTCCCAATGTAAATCAATGGGAAAAAGTGTTTCCGGGCCTGGCAACCAAACGGAAGTGTAGTACCGCGGTTTGGCCACCACGAATATGTTCATCTGAGTCCGGTGCACTTCCTGGGGGCTTGCTCTGTCCTAATGCCGTCTCTTTGAAACGGACATTATGGTGAAAAGTGGAAATGTGGAGAGAGATGACTCTTACTCTGGGATAAATGCAATCGTTTTCACGGAATGCATTTCTCACACACACATCACTCTCTCTTGAACCCGCACAGTGTTTTGACAGCACTTCGGTTTATTCCACTCACGTGCACGCGCCCACCTGCTGGCTCCTGGAGTTTACAGAGGGGGCGGGGAGTGTGGGACAGTGTTATTTCCTCTGGGGATGAGCAAGAAGCAGCCACGCTGCGACTACTCCTCACCCACGTAACCAAGGAGATCGATCCAAAGAGCCCTTCCGTAAACACGGGGGCTCCCGGCCCGGGAGATAAACAACACGGCCCTTTTGGAAAGTGCCATGCGGCGTGATCCCTCACCGGGATATCACACGGCAGACAACGGCGGCGGCCACGATCAAGCTACAAATAATCGCTCTGATCTGGTGAGGTGGGGGCATCTCCAGCAATGAGCGAGATGCCCAACACACCCGTGTTTATTTGCAGTCGCCTTGTCACGCGGTAGCGTGGCAGAGCTGTTTTCAGCTCCCTGCCTAGCCTGCTGCCGCTGGGAGCAGCTGCGCTCCGCCGCCATGGTCATCACCTAGGGCGGTGGACCTCCATGGACCGGTGTTCCGGATGAACTGGTTCCCCGATCAACTGGTTGACAGATGTGGAGGCGTGGCCTTCGACTGAAATACACATTTCGATCGCTTCTTCTGTCGTTTACATAAATCTTTTGGTATATTTGGCTGGATAGGAACACTTTGATGCACATTCAGTACCAGTGTGTGAGGTTGTGGTTACGATGGCGATATCCGGACGCGAACAGCGAGGACTACAAAAAGAAAAACGAGTTGACTGGGGATGTCTGTTCAAAACATTGCGAGCTCCAATAAATCATTTAAACCAGCTATTGTTGCCAGACTTATTACTGAATATCGGTCTTAATGTGATACCAAGTCCACCTGAGACCTGTGTACACCTTCAGACAGCCTCCAAGTGAAGCACATGTTCCTTACTCACAGTTTGAAAGCAGCGTGGAGAAGTCTTCAGCTGTGTTAAACTGTGATCCGCTCGAATAAATCCTTAAAACCAGCTATTGTTGCCCGACTTATCACTGAATATCGTTCTTAATGTGATACCAAGTCCATCTGAGACATGTGTACACCTTCAGACAGCCTCCCAGTGAAGCGTACGTTGTTTACTCAGAGTTTGAAAGCAGCGTGGAGAAGTTTTCAGCTGTGATAAACTGTGATCCTCTCAGGTAAACTGTGATTCGCCCATGAGAAAATGGGATCCGCCCAGATTAAACTGTGTTACGACTTCTGTGGCTATCTACCAGCGATCATGTTTAATATGAAAGACACACACATCTACATGCCTTATAAAAACGGCATTCTGCAGCACTCATCCAGATAACATGTGACTCGTTTTGCAAAGATAGCAGCAGAAATGTCATTGCTGCATGTGCAGGGATATTAGACTTTAAAATGCTGATGGGTCATTAATGTTGGTCTCGGCAAACAATATTAAGAATCCTCTATTCAAACCACATAATATTCAGTGTCCATCGACATGAAAATAACAAAAAAGTTCATGCTGGACTCAAACCCGAGTCCCAACAGCAAAAGTCACTCCAGCCCTGTGCGTCATGAGTGCGCCACGAATCAACACGACGTATCGAACCACCACACTATAATATTTTAGATTAACCTTGTTAAAAAGTTCCAGAAAAATGCAACCCAACCATCATTTATAATGTGAGCGAATGTACACTTTAAGCCATATAATATACATATTATAATATAGTATACTGACTGAGGTCTGTATCAAGCCTCATTAAGACCCACCGAGATCAGATATCCTAGTTTATCAGCCTGCGAGCCCACATTATGTTGTGATAAGTGTTAGTTTTACATATAAGTGTGTTAAGGTTAATCTAAAATATTATAGTGTGGTGGTTCGATACGTCGTGTTGATCTGTAGCGCACTCATAACGCGCAGGGCTGGAGTGACTTTTGCTGTTGGGACTCGGGTTTGAGTCCAGCATGAACTTTTTTGTTATTTTCATGTCGATGGACACTGAATATTATGTGGTTTGAATAGAGGATTCCTAATATTGTTTGCCGAGACCAACATTAATGACCCATCAGCATTTTAAAGTCTAATATCCCTGCACATGCAGCAATGACATTTCTGCTGCTATCTTTGCAAAACGAGTCACATGTTATCTGGATGAGTGCTGCAGAATGCCGTCTTTATAAGGCATGTAGATGTGTGTGTCTTTCATATTAAACATGATCGCTGGTAGATAGCCACAGAAGTCGTAACACAGTTTAATCTGGGCGGATCCCATTTTCCCATGGGCGAATCACAGTTTACCTGAGAGGATCACAGTTTAACACAGTTGAAAACTTCTCCACGCTGCTTT